GACGAGCTGGATATTGGAGAGGAATTCGGACAAGAAGAAAAACTTACCCGTAGACTCAGCAGACCTTTAGAGGATTACACTGATGGTTTTGCAGTACCCAAAGAGCTTGTTCAAAACGCAGACGATGCAGGTGCCACTGAAGTGAGATTTCTATATGACGAACGAACGAACCAGGATGCCATGACCTGTCTGATAGACGAAGAAATGAAACACTGCCAGGGTCCTGCTCTGTGGGTCTACAACGATGCCGAATTCAGAGACGAAGATTTTACAAACATCACAAAATTAAACGGTGCTACAAAAGAACAAGAAACTGAGAAAATTGGCAAGTTTGGACTTGGTTTCAACGCGGTCTACAATCTGACAGATGTTCCGATGTTTTTGAGCAGAAATTTCTTTGTGATTTTCGACCCGAACACATTCTATCTCGGAAAGGCAATAAGAAACAAGAACAAACCTGGAATAAAGATAGATATTAACAAAAACACAAAGAGACTTCGGAATCTCGGCAATCAGTTTAAACCATTCAATGGAATATTTGATTGCGATCTTCACCTGAGCAAGGACGACAACTCTTACCCTGGAACTCTCTTTCGTTTTCCATTACGTACCAGAGAGCAAGCAATTAAAAGTGAAATCAAGCAACTTCATTACGACAACAAACAAATGAAAGAGCTCCTGAAGCTCTTCGCCTCTGGTGCTAAGACCCTTCTTCTCTTCACGCAAAATGTACGCCGTGTCAGCATTTTTCACCTGCAGGAAGATTCGAACTCCTCCAACTCGCCTATGCTACTTTTTGAAGTAAACAAATCTTTTTATCGTGACGGAATCACAAGGGAACTGTCTGTTCCAGTCACACTTCCACCAGCTGCTAAGAATCTCAGTAGTGAGGAGCAGCACCTTTTGCAACAGTGCAATTTTCTACGAGCGTCCTCCGAAGTCATGAAGCGTTTGAAACATTCCACTAGCTCCAATTTAGTTTCTCTCAGTTCTGGGCTCACAATTACCATCCGGAGTACCACCACTGAGGTTGGAATAGCATTTGTCGAAGGCAAGGACTCTTTACGAGATGATTTGGAGATTTGGTGTGTTGCCTCTTCCATGGGCAAAGGAGAAGCAATGGAATTTGCAAAGGTTGACAAGAGTCTACTCCCATCGGCGGGGGTAGCAGCCAAGTTAATCCCCGACAAGAATGGAAAGCTCTCGCCCGTGCCTGTTGACCATCCGATCACAGAGAATGTGCAACAATTTAAGGGAAGATTGTTTTGTTACCTTCCGCTTCCGATAGTCAGTGGTTTTCCAGTACATGTAAATGGAGCATTCGCTGTGGCTTCTAACAGACGAGGTTTGAAAGAGAAGACATCTGACGACAAGAATTCAATGGGAGTTGAGTGGAACAATCATCTTATGCAAGATTCAATTTGTGAGGCATATCTAGACCTTCTCCAAGACGTAAAGAAGATGGCTGTTGATTCGTACCATTATCACGTCCTGTGGCCTAAAGCTTGTGAAGTAAATCCGAATTGTGAGCCTCTTGCACGTTCATTTTACCAACGTTTGACTTGTGAAAACTATGATCTCTTTTCCGATGGGAGTCAGTGGGTTGACCTTAGCCATCTGGTCTTCCTTGATCCAAATTTTCGCCAAATTCCAATAATTGGGGGGTTGTCCCTAGACGTTTTAAGGAGATTGAGAAAAGAGAATGAGGTCATCATTGATCTTCCAGCTGAAGTCCACCAATCTTTTCTGAAGTATGGCCTCGCAGAAGAAATCCAGGATAAAGGCTACGATAAGTCAAGGTTTTTTCGTGAATTGTTCTTCCCAAATATAGCTTCTATAGCACCAGAACTTAGGGAAAAGTTGATTTTGTACACTCTTGATGACAAAAATGGAGAGTTCGACAGTCTCATTAAGAAATACGCTTGCATTCCCGTCTCACCGGATGGCCAAACGCTCAAGTGTCCAGCTCAGCTAATCAGTCCCCATAAGGAGGCCGCCTTGCTGTTTAGTCCTGACGATAAAAGATTTCCGTTTGGTAAAGAGGATACTTTTTTGAATGGCGTACGACTTGCCAAGCTTGAACAGCTCGGGATGTTGACAGACAGCCTTACATGGGAGGAAGTTTTAGAGAGGGCACAGAGCATTACCATTTTAAATGGACTCTCTTATACATCTGCATTGAAGCGCGCTAAAGCCTTGACGGCTTATCTTAAAAGAAAATTGACCTCTGAAAAGGGAAACTCTGTACCGGTTGACATTCGCAACAGATTTAAAATGGCCAGGTTTCTTCCCGTGCTTCAAAAACCGGAAAAATTCCCTCTTCCTTGGAAAGGAGATGAGCTACGTAGTGTTACAGCGGGGAATTTTGTTTCACCCGTAGAGTCCTATCTTGAGAGCGAGAAGTATTTGGTTTGTTGCACTGAACCGATAGTCGACATGTTCATCCCAGAAAGCGTGAAAACGTTCTTGGATTTCGAAAAAAGGCAAGCCACAGTTGTTCATGTTCGAAGGCAACTCGAGGCTGCCTCAAATGTGAAGATAGATACATTGGATTCTCTAGAACTTGATCGCGTTGAAGAGCTGTGTTTAGAAGCTTACAGGTATTTTCAGCGATCACTCAGTAACAAAACAATCCATGAGAAGGAAGTAAGAGAGATATTTGAAGGAAAAAAGATAATTTTCTTTGGAAGGAATTTTTTTCACACGAAACAGCTAGCTTTCAGGTTGGAGACTGATTGTTCTCCGTACCTACATCAGCTTCCGCATCACTTAGCAAGGTCATTTGAAGAGTTAATGAAAATTGCAGGTGTGACGGCTGTTTTTGATGCCGAAGATTACGTCACCGGTTTGACGCAACTGAAGGAAGCGTTTGGGGAAGAAGAGCTTGACCACAAGGGTCTTCGATTAGCGATTAACCTGGCTCTTCAACTCGGAAACAGCTCAAAACACCCTCAAGAAGAGCTCTTCCTTCCTGATTCTAAAGGTGTAATGCGTTCTGCCGATGAACTTTGCATGAGAGACTGCCCTTGGATGCTTGATGAAATCGACGTTTATTTCGTCAATGACATGATTCCCCATGTGGTAAGTTCCAGACTGGGTGTGAAGACACGACGCGAGGAAGCATTAAAGCATTTCTCCAGTGGCATTCCTTTTGGACAAAGGGAAAAACTTACAAATCGTCTACAGCGTATTCTTTTAGCTTACCCATGCGAGAAAGAAATCTTAAAAGAACTTCTCCAGAATGCTGACGATGCACAAGCTACTGAGATTTGCTTCATTAAAGACCCTCGACATCACCCAGACGAAAGAGTAGACTCCTGGAAACCCCTGCAGGGTCCTGCACTATGCGTGTTTAACAACAAACCTTTCACTGAAGCCGACATCGTGGGAATTCAAAATCTCGGGGAGGGCAGTAAAGGAGATGATCCAAACAAAACTGGTCAGTATGGAGTTGGTTTCAATGCTGTGTACCATCTGACTGACGTACCGTCGTTTGCCTCTAGTGGTAAAGAGATTGGAGATGTTTTGTGCATATTTGATCCGCACTGTAAGTACGTGCCAGGTGCAACCAGTTTGGAACCAGGTAGGATGTACAGAAACGTCCCAAAGTTGAGAAAAGTCTTCCCGGATGTTTTTTCCTGCTATAATGATGAAGAGTTCCCCTTACGAAATTCAACAATGTTCCGGTTTCCATTACGAACTCTGGAAATGGCGAATGATTCCAAGATATCGCAATCACCGGTGACAATTCAGGCATTAGATGAAATGATGAACGCACTAAAAAAGGAACTTTTCGAAGTTATGCTTTTTGTCTACAACGTTACGAAGATCACTTTGTGTGAAATTGATCCGAAAACCGGGAAAACTATGAACCATTATTTTGTCGAGTCCAAAATGACAGAAGAGGATGCAGCGAAAAGGCAAGAGTTTGCGATTCATGTCCGACAGATCGGGAAGTCAGCTGGACAAAGAGATAACACGTTTCCCAACGACATTGAAGGGAAAAAGTGTTCGTATGTTCTGAGGCTGCGAGACAGCAATGGAAACGAGGAAAAGTGGCTTATTGTACAACAGATTGGCTTTGATAACAAAGTGGAAGCAAGTATTACAAATGCTTACCAGAACCAAGATCTGGGAATGCTACCACGAGGGGGAGTTGCTTGCCTCTTAGAAAAGAAGCCAACAGAGAACTGGTCAGAAAATAGAAAGAAAAGGGCTTACTGTTTTCTTCCTCTTCCTTTAGAGACTAACCTTCCAGTCCACATTAATGGTCACTTTGCATTAGACCATGAGGCCAGACGAAATCTGTGGACGGATGAAACTCGTGCTTATCGTAGTGACTGGAACAACGCTTTGCTAGGAGATGTGATTGCACCGTGTTATCTGACACTTCTAGATGAAGTTAGGGAGCTTCTTCACTTGCCATCAGCGCCTGATAAAGAACAGTTTACCCTTCACTGCACTGAAGAGGCTTTGTTCAGGAAGATCGACCAATACGAAAAGCTTTTTCCTTTGGTAGTTTCGGGTGAAACGTACTGGGCAACCTTGGGAAGAGCCGTGTATCATAAAATGGACGAGAGAAGATTGAGACTTCTACCGGCAGTGAGAGGTGGTGAAGCAGAAGGTACTGTTTCGGAGCAGCGACTGACATGGCTCCCTCCGACAGGTGAGGGGAGAGAAAAAGCGTTCTTCAATAACCTTGCAGAAAGTGGTTGTTTCTCTAGTCGCTCAAGAGGTTTCCTCGGTAAATGTGACACTGAAAAAGAAGTCAAACGGATGCTTGAATACCGAAAGAGATTGGAAGAAATATTACTGGAAACGGGCTTTAATCTTGTTAAGTTCTCGTTAACTCTGTGCGAAGCATTCAAAAACTCGTTTGTAAATTGTGATTGCGTATCACCTTCTGCAGTAATAAGGTTCTACAAGACCTTCAGTGATGCCGAACCCATTTGCAAGATCGGACCGATCTCTGTTAATGTTGAAAAGAGTCCATTCAAGAGTGCTGAAAACGTCTCACTCGTGTTGAAGTATTGCAAGGAGGATACGAACTTCCTTGAAAACCTGCCAGGCCTCCCTTTATTAGTAACACGGGAAAACCAGCTACGTGCATTCAGCACCACTGATCCTAAGTTTCTATCGCGTCATCACAGCATCCTACCACAATGCAGAGAATTGTTTGTCCATGAACGTCTCAGGATACACATCTTTGGCGATGTAAAGAGTCAAGAATCATCGGTGTTTAGGCGTTTTGGTGTACAAGACTTTGCCACTAACTTGAATCGATGCCTACCATCGGAGTTTTTCACCGAAGACGACTATGTCACCTGGTATCCAACGCAAGAATCAGTGCCCAATAAGCATTGGATTCAGGGAGTTTGGACTTTCCTTAATGAAGAAACAAATTTTGCTTTGAATAATATGGAGGAAGCTGATAGGGAGAAAGGCATTTATACAAACCTCCAAGGGAGAGTCAACAGGATTCAAAAGTTACTCCTACCCCTTTTTAGGTGGAGTATCCTTCCGTGTACCGAAACAATGACGCAAAGAGATGGAAGAATTGCTGGGAGACCAGAGCACTATCTAGTACCCTTGAGCCTCGCACAGTCTGTGGTTGATTTTACATCTTATGATGAGAATAGCAAACCTCTCGTTGAAGCTCTGAGGCAGCTTAATTTAGCCGAAGTGAATTACACCGTATTGATGTCAGATTCTTGTTCTCTGGTAAGCAAGCTGGTAGCGTCACTTAAAACACCAGAATCTCTTCTCAAATGCTTTGAGCAGAAATTGAAGAAAGACCCCAACGCATTTGAAGGCAAATTGAAGCTATCAGAATGTCACAACGTTTTGAAGTGTTTCAGTGACAGCGTGAATAGACTGGAAGAACGTGACAAACCCATGTTAAAAAGGCTTCCTTTCTACCAAGCAACACACGGCAGACTTATAAGTGTGGGCAGTGCAGCGGTTTGTGTCCTACCTCATGGCGTTCCACGAAAGGAAATGGACGCTCTTGGACGTCGAAGAAATATGATTTTTCTAGAAGAATCTTTTTCACTCGCTCCTCTTTTTCAATTTCTTGAATTCCAATGCATTTCCTCAGTTGATGTGTATTGCAACTTCATTTTGCAAACCTTCGACATTTTTAGTAAAGAGGCAAGGTTTGCTCACCTGGATTACATCCGTCATTATATTCTTCCGAACAAGTCAATCGATGGCAATGACAAAAGTAGGCTCATGGCTTCTTTGAAAAACACAGCGGTCATTACATGCGAAGATGGAAGTTTAAGAAAGGTATCCTCTTTCTACGATCCCCGTAATGAAGTCTTCATAGTTATGCTCGCAAAGGACATGTTCCCTCCAGATCCTTTTAGCCAACGAGAATGGCTATTGTTTTTGGAAGAAATCGGGCTAATATGTGTCGTCTCAAGAGATCTGTTCACGACGTTTGCCAGAGAGGTCGCCATTGAAGGAGCTATACGACCCTCAGAGGATACTGATAACAAATCGAAAGTATTGGTAAAGAGCCTTTTTAGTCGAGATAATGTAATAGCAGAAGGGCTTCTACAGACCGTGTGCGACATAAGTTTTGTGGCCACTGAACCTGTCGAGGAAAAGTTTCGTCAGCTCCATCGGCAGTTTGGTGAAGTAAGTGGTCAAACCCCCTACATTTCGTTCAAAGGATCTGTGATTGCAAAGCATGCTAAGATAGTTTGGACGGCGGCACCTCTGCTTCCACAATGGGCACATCCTTACAACTACCGGTGCCTAATGACATTGCCAGTTAGCACAAGTGCCAGTACTTACTACAACGCTATTTGTTCCTGTCTTCAAGTTCTGACAGAGCCCACCCTTGACCTGGTTATTTCCCACTGCCAAAATTTATGCTTTAAGCTGGAAAAAGACAACTACAGTGATGTGCTAGAGAGCCAGAAATACACCAGAATTTTAGTAATGAGTGGCATATACGCGTTCCTTCAAGAAAAGGCCGTCTCAAGCACCAATGTAAAAGAGAGGCTAAAGGATACTCCTTGTGTTTTGGTGGAGGAGGGAGGTCGTTTTGTTCACTCGAAGCAAGTAGTTCTTGAATTGTATAGGAAAGATGAGATTCGACCCTTTCTTTATGGAATGCCGGCAGAGTTAAGCGCGTTCAAAAGGCTCTTCCAATATTTGGGATGTTCCCCATCTGTCAAACCTTCTCACTACGTCATGGTTCTAGATATTTTACACAGGCGATCGATGGAAAACATGCTGGAACCAAACGAAGTTGATTTCGCTTCAAGAGCAGTGAAAGGCCTTTTTGAAACGCTCCAAGACATTCCGAGTGGAATGGATGGTATAACTAATTTGTACCTACCTTCTGCATGTCTGTTTAGTAGCGATTTGGTTGAGGAAGTACCACCTATCGTGTTGGCTAGGTCGACAGAATTAATTTTTGATGACGCTCCATATTACCATGATCGAATTCGAGAGTTTGACTTTCCTTTTGTTGTTGACCTTAAGAAAGCTGGGGTATGCATCAAGTCCAGTGCAAATTACAAAGACCTAATGAAGCTTCTTCCTGCTGCTGTCCAACCTCAGATGATGTCCGAAGTTATCGAAGAGAAAATCGTGGAAGATGATAATAATTTAGTTTTCGAATTTGGGGCTGCAGACTCACTGAAGAAACAATTCAGCTCTGAGCAGTTCTATCGTGGAATTGTCAGGCTTATTCGCCACGCCAATCAAGATGGAGGTCTTGATTAAAATGAAGTCGCAGCTGCGAGGAGCGGTCTGCAAAACATCGAATTCTTTGGAATGGGTCAGGTTGTTACTCACCTGGTTCATAATGGACAGGTCATCCAAGGGAGTCAGCAGGAAGTTCCCTTCTACATGAAGAAAATTTCAGAATGCGGTCAAGAGATGTGGAAAGTATACGTCAGTGCTGCGGAGAACGTTGAAGTAGTCATGTCTGCAATATCAGTAAAGCTATCAGAGGTGATTGCTCAAGCGTGCAAAGGACTGCTGGGAAATACCATTCTCTTTATTCCTGAGATGCTTCGTTGCGAACCAACCATGATCAGCTCCATTTTAGATAGGTTTAAGATTCGCTCAGACGACTCCTATGATGCTCAAAAAGGAAATCTACTCCCAGAGCCAGGCAGCTTTATTCCTCTTAAACTTCACAATCTCCTAAATCCTGCTTTCAAATCCTTTGAACCCAGGGAGTATGTTGGATACGAATTGGATGATCCCAGTCTTCAACTTCAAGAAGAGGATGTTACTTACATCTACGCTGTCATTATTGAAGAGGTGACGACTGATATTCACAGCCTCCTGAACAAGCGCTACAAAATCAATATTGGGCGCGAGAAGGAACCTGTAATTGCCCAGGCTTCAGAATTATACCAATTTCATCGTTTTCAAGAAATAGCATCCTCTGCCATTGTTCAGTCTGACCAACAAGAAAGCCCCCCGTCAACAATGGATAAGGGGACGATTCTGAAGGTCATCTCGGATATGATTGAGGAAGCTTG